ACACAGACGCTTCTACACGCAGACGCTTTTACACGCAGATGCGTTTTACACACGCACACACGCTTTCACACACAAACGCTTTTACACACAGACGCGTTGACACACAGACGCTTTTACACACAGACGCTTTTACACACAGACGCTTTTACTCACAGACAATTTTTTTTTACGCAAAAGCTTTTACACACAGACGGTTTTACACACAGACGCTTCTACACGCAGACGCTTTTACACGCAGATGCGTTTTACACACGCACACACGCTTTCACACACAAACGCTTTTACACACGCAGACACGCTTTCACACACAAACGCTTTTACACACAGACGCCTTTACACACAGACATTGTTACACAAACGAAAGCATCCATCGCAATTTTTCCTCAGTTTTTGACGTCCAAGGTCCATGTCGTGCAAAAGGGTTACGATTAACTAAGTAAAATCGCAATTTTTCCTCAGTTTTTGACGTCCAACGTCCATTTCGTGCGAAAGGGTTACGATTGACCAAGTAAAATCGCAATTTTTCCTCTATTTTTGACGTCCAACGTCCATTTCGTGCGAAAGGGTTACGATTGACCAAGTAAAATCGCAATTTTTCCTCAATTTTTGACATCCAACGTCCATTTCGTGTGTAAGGGTTACGATTGACAACTCAAAGTCGCAATTTTTCCTCAGTTTTTGACGTCCAACGTCCATTTCGTGCGAAAGGGTTGCGCGCGACCAATAAAAGTTGCAATTTTTCCTCAGTTTTTGACGTCCAACGTCCATTTCGTGCGAAAGGGTTGCTGGGGACGCTTCAAAATCGCAATTTTACCTAGGTTTTGGACGTCCAACGTGCATTTCGTGCGAAAGGGTTGCGTTTCGTGGCGCTCCGGCGGCACCGCCCCCGCCTTAAGAGAGAATAGAAGAAGAGCGAGAGGAGATCTGCAGATGTGAAGGTGTGAAGATCTAGATCCGCAGGTGTGAGGGTGTGAAGATCTAGATCTGCAGGTGTGAGGGTGTGATGATGTAGATCTGCAGATGTGAGGGTGTGAAGATCTAGAGCTGCAGGTGTGAGGATGTGAAGATCTAGATCTGCAGGTGTGAGGGTGCGAAGATCTAGATCTGCAGGTGTGAGGGTGTGAAGATCTAGATCTGCAGATGTGAGGGTGTGAAGATCTAGATCTGCAGGTGTGAGGATGTGAAGATCTAGATCTGCAGGTGTGAGGGTGTGAAGATCTAGATCTGCAGGTGTGAAGGTGTGAAGATCTAGATCTGCAGGTGTGAAGGTGTGAAGATCTAGATCTGCAGGTGTGAAGGTGTGAAGATCTAGATCTGCAGGTGTCAGGGGGTGTGAAGATGTAGATCAGCAGATGTGAGATGTGAAGATGTAGATCTGCAGATGTGAAGGTGTGAAGATCTAGATCTGCAGGTGTGAAGGTGTGAAGATCTAGATCTGCAGGTGTCAGGGGGTGTGAAGATGTAGATCAGCAGATGTGAGGGTGTGAAGATGTAGATCTGCAGATGTGAAGGTGTGAAGATGTAGATCTGCAGGTGTGAAGGTGTGAAGATGTAGATCAGCAGATGTGAAGATGTGAAGATGTAGTATTATAATGGCTGCTTTTTTACGAAGAACCCTTCGCAGGCGCTCTCGGGAAAAAACATTGTACATAGCAAGATTTTGCAGGGTTTTTGGATGCCAGAGCATTGAAAACACTGCAAAAACAAGTGTTTTGGACTGACGTTATAGCAAAAAAACGTGTAAATTACCGTATGCTTGACTGGAAACATTACAAAAACACTGTCAAAAGCAATGTTTTGGAAGGATTTACTGCCTTTATGGCAAAAAACGTGTAAATTACCGTCTGTTTGACTGGAAACATTGGAAAAACACTGTCAAAAAAAATGTTTTGGAAGGATTTCTTATATATATATATATATGTTGGAGTTGGCTACCGGCATTGGCACATGGAAAAATTGAAGAAAACACTGTAAATAGCGGTATTTTCAACGGTTGGGGAGATAAGGGAGTTGGAAGCATTGTCGAACATGATGTTTTCGACCGGTTTTATGGCGACAAAAGTGTAAAGTACCGTGCTTTGAAGGAAACCATTGCAAAAACATGGAAACACATTCAAAGAACACGGGATTTGGGGGACTATCTAGGCGTCGTTGTCTAGCTATTTTGAAATTCCGCAGCTTGGAGAGCCTCCAAGGGAGGGAAAAGTGAAAATTCCATAGCTTGGGAAGCTGTCACGGCGGGGAAAAGTGAAAATTCCCTAGCTTCGGAAGCCCCCACAGGGGGGAAAAGTGAAAATTCCCTAGCTTGGGGAGCCCCCAGGGGGGGGGAAAAGTGAAAATTCCCTAGCTTGGGGAGCCCCCACGGGGGGGGAAAAGTGAAAATTCCCTAGCTTGGGGAGCCCCCACGGGGCCCCACGGGGGGGAAAAGTGAAAATTCCCTAGCTTGGGGAGCCCCCACGGGGGGGAAAAGTGAAAATTCCCTAGCTTGGGGAGCCCCCACGGGGGGGGGAAAGTGAAAATTCCCTAGCTTGGGGAGCCCCCACGGGGGGGAAAAGTGAAAATTCCCTAGCTTGGGGAGCCCCCACGGGGGGGAAAAGTGAAAATTCCCTAGCTTGGGGAGCCCCCACGGGGGGGCAAAGTGAAAATTCTTAGCTTGGGGAGCCCCCACAGGGGAAAACCACCCTTAGCCCCTCTCACGGACCGAAATAAACCTGCGGTGTGGGCGGCCACCCCACGCGAAGCGGGGTGAATATAAAAAAACCATTCTCGGACCACTTTTGGAAGTTGAGATGTCCAAAAAGTGTACGCCGTTGTGGCGCGAAGCACATTTCCAAGTCAAAATGTAGAAAACACACCGTTCTCGGAGCACCTTTGGAAGTTGAGATGTCGAAAAAGTGCACGCCGTTCTGGTGCAGAGCACGTTTCGAAGTCAAAAGTGTAAAAACTGACGGGTTCGGAGCACTTTTGGAAGTTGTGATCGCCGTTGTGGCGCAAAGCACATTTCCAAGTCAAAATGTTAAAAACACATGCTTGGACCACTTTTTAACGTTCAGATGTCGTTTCGCGTGGCAGGCGCAAGGGATTGTGCACCTTGTCAAAAGTGAGCAAAACGCGAGGGTTTTGTAGCATTTCCAAAAACGATGGCAGGCGTGGGGCATTTGAAGAGGGTCTGCAAAGATGCATTTTCCGTGGCGGAAGTAGAGACATGTTCATCAGAGCTGTTAGGAGGTCCGGGCGCTGATTTCTTGAGAGGGGTTGCATTTTGGAGCATCAGATCTTCAGGTTTTCTGAGATGATTTTGCGTGACAGGTGCAGCACTTCGTATGACCTGGCATCACTTTTTCGTGGCAGGCGCAATACTTTAGACAGGTGGAGTGGAAAGATCGCAAAACGCATTGGTACGAAGCCGTCAGCTCCATTCAGCTCCGCACTCAACTTTCCATTTTTGAAGGAAGTCTCGCAGAATTGTATCGTTTTTGATGTTGTCAACTTCGAAAATTGAGGAAGTCTCGCAGAATTGTTTCATTTTTGATGTTGTCAAGTTCAAAAATTGAGGAAGTCTCGCAGAATTGTTTCGTTTTTGACGTTGCCAAGTTCAAAAATTGAGGAAGTCTCGCCAAATAGCTGCGTTTTCAAAGTTGCAGCTAGATAGATAGATAGATAGATAGGTAGGTAGATAGATAGATAGATAGACAGACAGCTGCAACTGCAACTGCAACTACAAGTACCACTACGCTCCTCTACCTCTACCTCTGCCTCTACCTCTACTACCTCTACTACTACTACTCCTGCTACTCCTACTACTCCTACTACTACTACTACTGCTACTACTACTACTCCTACTACTACTACTACTACTACTACCACCACCACAGCTACAAGTACAATTTCAACTACATTACACAACACTACACTCATTACATTACATTACACTACAACTGCAACTGCGACAACATTACAACTTACAACTACAACTTACAACTACAACTCCGCTACACTACACTACAACGACTGCAACTACAACTGCACTACACCAGACTACATCCAGCAGTTGCTGGTGAGGTGACCACTGCAAACATTGCAACCACTCCAAAAAACACAGCTCCAACCACGATTCGGTCCATCAGTGGGTTTGCTCTGCCATCCGTGATTCACAACAACCAACCCCTCCTATAGGCTTCCTATTTTTGAAACTTCCGCCACCGCCTTGTGCGGTACTACTGGTATCCACAAGCACAATGATACGCATAGCAAGTCCAGGGGTCTGACACCGCTTCAAAAGTCTAAAATGATCCGCTCCACCATAGTAGACCCCCTGCTGGCCCGTCCCCAGGTCAAGGCATCCTAGACCCTGAGTACTTGAGGGTATGATGTCTGGGGGTGCCGGGGGTTGCGTTCAGGGTGCGCTGGCTGTACAAATGTCTTTGCATCGCTTGTGGCTGTCAAGGTTCAACCTCACATGCTTGCTGCAGAACAGCACGGGCATCCCTGCACCTTTTGAAACGTTCCTGTAACGCTGCGATGCGGGCCCATTTTTGGGGCCGTGGGCCTGCATGCTTTTTGCCCTCCCTCACAGCGTGCTCTGCATGTGAAACCGGCATCTTGGCACCAAGCACAAGAAAACATGAATGAAAGATGCAGCCTGTCGCAGCCCAAGGCACTCTTTGCAGAAGCGGGGGCGCATATACCATGGGTCCAAAATTGGGGCCACAAATTTGGAAACTGGGTTCCTAATTTGTATATCGTGACCCCATTTTGGGGTCCAGAATCTGGCCCCTATTTTGGGGCCACAAAACACAAACAGGAGCTTTTCAATACGGGCAGCAAGTGTGCTCCTGCCGACGCAAGCTGACAGCAGCACATATATCCGCGATACTGTACATATACATACACATACACATACACGTACGCAACATAACATAGCATTGCATTGCGTTCCGTTCCGTTACGTTACATAATAGATCACAATAGTATGCACCTCTCGCCCCACACAACTTTGCTCAAATTAAGCATCCCATGTCCCCGCCCCGGGTCCTCCCAAGCAGTCCAACCCCCATCTCCGGTGTTTCCGGCTGCACGGGCTCAGATTGCGCGGTGGGAAACCGTGATGCAAAAATGGAAGGTGTAGTTCCCTGGCGCCCCACAAAAGCCCCAGCTGCAGCAGCTCCAGTGCCTAGCACTGGGGGCACCGGCGGATGCACAGGGCTGCACAGTACCATCTTCTGACTGCCGGAGGCAAAAGGTAACCAGCCCCAGATGGAGCTGCTGGGCTTGCCGTCAAAGGCCCAGCCACGGCCGTCACGCAAGCGAAGGAAGGTCACCTCCAGGTTTGAAGCAAAACGGCTAGGTACTGCTACTGGTAGTGATTACTGACTACGGTTGAGTCTAGTTGAGGAAAGACCGAACACAGGGCAACAGCCTCATCATTATGAGTGGGTTTGGGTGTTATGTTCCCTCTTTGCGGATGTTCAACTCCTATTAGGACGATCCTGGTGTCAAACGATGCAACACCTTCTATGCCAAATGGTGAATGTCATCAAGCATCATGTGTGATCAACGTTGCAAGTGTACATTGTCTACAGTGGGTAGATGACAGAAAAGGGTCCGGAGTCAAAACAGCAAAGGGTCTTGCTGTCATGCTGCCAGAACTGACATTAGAAACTTCGAAAGTCTGCGCCAAAGGTCCAAAGACAAAAGAGTCCATACAACTCAGCTCAGGTCCTGAGAGCATAGTTAGACTGTGTCAGATTCAAAGTAAAGCATTTGATCATTTGAACTTCAGATATTTGTCAGATATCTTCAAATCATTTGATATCATTTGATCATTGCATTTGACGCGGCATAGCACAGCATCCCGGGGAACTGGACACCGCGCCTCATCATTACCTTGCACCTTCTCCACCACTTCGAAGCGATCCCCTGGTGCCTCCAACACCACCAGACATGAGAAAGGCAGAATTGCCTTGATATCCCAATTTTGACATATTTTGACATATTTTGACATATTTTGACATATTTTGACAGGTTCTCTCGAATGACATGCACTAATTTTGCGGATTTGCAACTCACGTGGGGTCAACATAGTTTTTAAGTGCTTTCAAGATCTTTCTAGCTACCAGTGACTTGCCAGTGTCATGCCAAGGTACCAGTGCATGTCCTGACCCAGAAGCGTCCAAGTGCGGCGCAGCGCGCAGGTTCAGGTGGTTCCCATCTGCTGGGGAGAAACACCACAGTTCCACCGGACCGCTGTGCTGCTTGTAGTGAGCAATGGCGTGCTCCTCCTCAACACCCAAACTGCATCAAACATGATCAAACTGCTCATGGCATACAAATGGTCACAGAAATGCTGAAGACAAGTCTGTCCTCAAAAGTCAAAATGATTCAAAATGCGGTGTGCCGATACGCTCTGCACTCAAAATAGGCTTGGACGGTTTGGATATGCCTTGACCTTCCATCGCCTGGTCCCCTGGAACCTTTTCCAAGTCCTGCGCCAGTCGGGCACGGAGGTTTTCCAGCTCTGCATGGGAGGAGTGACAGGGGCCCCGGCTGCCACCCGGAAAACCGCCCGCAGCCATGGCATCATGGGGAAGGTTCAGGGTCCCTGGCCTGCTCTATGGATATAAACAAAAATGATATGGTTGTATGCGCATATATGTGCTTTCATGGATTGTCAAGACAAGTCAAGGGGGTTCATATCAAAAGAACGTAATTCCTGGACCTTTTCATATCTCTTCTGAGTCTTGGCGAAGATGCATGAAGGTTTATCAAGGTGTATCAAGGTGCCACCGGGAATGAGGGTTTGCTGCAGCTTGAGCACGTACAGGCCATGCATCGACATTGCAAAAAGTCAGGCCCCAGCAACCTGGGTTTCAAGGTTTCACAGGCGCGCGGAATGCCAACTGGTTTCCCCTTGTCAACCCTGGCAATCGAGGGTCTCTTCTCAGTTCGATCTATGTCAGTTGCCAGGTTGAGACAAACACATGTGGTTGATCTACGACGTGTTCATGGATTTCATGGTAGCTTTCTTTGGTTCCAACTCTGTCTGCATGAGAAAGCACCAGAACATATTGATGAAAACAGCAGGCAAGGCCACCCCTTCTTTTTTGAGGCCCAGCAGGTCTCAAATGAAGTGCTTCTTCTCGTAGTAACGCATCCTGTCCAGGGGCTTGACGGGCGGACTTGAAATCGTCTTCGGTCAGGTTTCATTTCGCCTGTTGAACATCAGGACGCCAATGACAACGATGACCACCAACAGAATCAGCAACATCCATGTCCTCAGTGCCGGATGTCGTGTCTTATCAACACATGTGATATTTCACGCTATTTCATGATATGTGTCATGTTATTTCATATTGTTTCATGTTATTCCATGTTATGACTTCTTTCATGTCATTTCTTGAAATGTTTTATGATATTTCAAGTTGTCATGTTGTTTCATGTTATTCCATGTTCTGACATGTTATTTCATGTTATGTCATGATATTGCATGATGTGTTTCATGCTGTTTCATGTTATTTCATGTTGTGTCATGGTATTTCATGTTATTTCAAGTTTGTTCATGTTATTTCGTGTTATTTCATCTTAGTTTATATTAGTCCATGTTACGAGTATTTCATGTTATTTCATCTTATTTCGTCTATTTGTTCATGTTATTTCATGTTAGCTCATTTTATTTAATCTTATTTCATCTTATCTCATGTTATTTCATCTTATTTCATGTTATTTTGCATGTTAGTTGAGGTTAGTTCATGTTATTTCATCTTATTTCATGTTATTTCATCTTATGTTCCATCTTGTTTTTCATGTTAGTTCATGTTATTCATCTTATTTGATCTTATTTCATGCTATTTCATGTACTTTCATGTTAGTTGCCGCTAGGTCATATTAGTTCATATTATTTCATCTTATTTCATCTAATTTCATCTTATTTTTCATTTTAGATCATGTCATTTCAGTTTATTTCATGTTAATTCATGTTAGTTCATCTTCATGTTATTTCATGCTAGTTCATGCTAGCTAATGCAATTTCATCTGATTTCATGTTAGTTCGATTTATGTCATGTTTTGTTCACCTTATTTCAGTTTTTTTTATCTAATTTCATCTTATTTCATGTTATTTCATCTCATGTCATGTTATTTCACCTTATTTCATCTTAGTTCATGTTATTTCATGTTATTTTATGCTAGCTCATGTTAGTTCATGTTAGTTCATGGTATGTCATGTTATTTAATCTTATTTCATGTTACTTCATCTTAGTTCATCTTATTTCAGGTTATTTTTTATGTTAGTTCATGTCATTTCATGTTATTTCATGTTGTTTCATGTTAGTTTATCTTCATGTTATTTCATGCATTTCATGCTAGTTAATGTTATTTCATTATTTCATCTTATTTCATGTTAGTTCATCTTATTTCGTCTTATTAATTTCACGTTGATCATGTTATTTCACAGCATGTTTGTAGGAGCTGAAGCATCAGAAACTTCTGACGTTTGATAGATACTGACGTTGACGGATATAGGAGAATCGTGCAGGCTACTTTCGAGGAATTGGCAAAACATCAGGATATTGATTTGTTGCCTGACAGGAAGACACTGTGGACATCATCAAACCCCTTCTGACTGACCTGGCGCACTATTGCCTAAGCCCCTGACATCTGGGAGCTTCTGGCTAAAACCTCAGCCCGTGCCGCTTACACAACTCACTTGACGTTTTGGCCCGTTTGTTGTCAGCAACCCGTGAAATGCAAGGGAAAACACACCTTGAACCCCTGAACCTGAACGCCTCTGCAAAATTGTCGTGCATGCATTCTGGGTGTTTACAGTTTCGTTGCACTCGAATGCAAGTCAGGGTTCAACGGCTACATACGCTTGCAACAAATATGGATACCACATGGTTCCCCTCGCACGGGAGAAATGTGGGTCTGGGGTGTTTTTTTTGTAATTACAGAACCTCATCGCAACACGATGCCCACCCATCCCCTGCCTCCCAAGTGCCGGGACTCCGCACTGACTCTTCTAAGAGTCGCGTCTGATCCACGAGCTTGGTGAGCATGCTGGAGCCACTCGCCTGCCGCTGGGGGTCAAAGATGCTCAAGGGTAGTTGGGTCGCCCGTAAATCATCCGCGCCAATTTGCACCCATTACATTGAATAGGGCTATTCAAGAGTATCTGGTGCGTTCACCCACCTATTTTTGCGACTGGTTGGCTTCGAGCAATGCGCATTAGATCACCTTTCTTGACAGCACTGGATACTACCACATCGCACATGAAAAGTTCACGTTTGTGAAATCTACCTTTGCTAGGGTACATTCTGCTGACATCGGAAAAGCATTGAATATATTCCAGCAATTCAAAGACCTGCAAAGAGCAATCCAGGGTGTGTACCTTGCTCGCTTGCTCTTTCACCTCGTTCAGGTTTTTCTGGACAGCCTCTCAGACTGACCATTAAAAAGATGACTGTGGCTTGTGATTGCTTCTGGTTCCAGTGGTAAAATGGGTATGTGGAAATAGACAAAACCCTCAACGATTCTTGTTCCCACATGGAAGGCAAAACAAACCCTGAACAGCACCTCGAGCTTGTGCAGTTGGGCCTTCCCCTCCTAGCAAGGTGGAGGTTGAGGTAACGGTGAGGCAACTGACGGGCATGACCTGAAACATCTGTAGTCACTGACTGGTTTCCTGCCTTCAAACCAGCCATTTTTGTCAGATGGAAATCTACACACGCACAAAATCGTGGAAGCCGTTGGATAATTCTACCGAAGTAGCCCTGCATGCGAACCAATGTGTTTCAAGCTCACTGTCCAATTCACAACCAGCGCAGTTGAAACTTCCTAGGGTTACTGGCTGCAAATCAAGTTGCATCCCAAGTTCCATGGAGGGAACTGGGTTGATCCATCCTAAATTCTGGGATATTTCGGTTATGGTTTCATGGATTTACCTCAGGCGGTTTACTTGAAAAAAACATCCGTTCGGTCGTGGTCGATGAATGGCCATGGCAGCAGAGCTGTTCAACATGCACTCTTGGAAATTTGAGGTGTATGTATGTATGGATGGATGGACGGATGGATGGATGTTACGGCATGGTACGGCATGGTACGGTACGGTACGGAATGGTATGGAATGGAATGCAATGTAATGTAATGTATGTGTTTGCATCCTTAATGATATGTTTGTATTTGTGTCCATGGCCATGTATGTGTATGCGTATATATATATATACACACTGTATATATTATATAATTTATATATATATATATATGTGTGTGTGTCATATGTCATATGTATTGACATGTATACATGTTGACATGTATGTAGTATGTGTATATGATTGTATATGTATTTAGATAGGCATGTTTCTTCTCATTTCGTTCTAACGGACCCACCCAACAAGGGATGAGGGTCTCCATCCCCTCAAACTTGCTGACCCATACCAAACAACTGTAGGAAAGGATTATTGGACAACGCCCTTAAAAGGGCACCAAGAATAAATTCCGTTTTTAAGAGTCCCCGTTGTTTCGATAACCTTGCGACATTGGACTTCTCAACCCTGTTGTCAAACTCATTGGCTTTGCCAAGCTCCCACAAAAAGGGTGCCGCTCTTGGGGGCGCCCTGTCGTTACACATGGTTTTGTATTTTTGAAGAGAAAGGAATAAATCTACGCAAAGAAAAGAAGGAGAATGGAAGAGGAACGGAAAAGGAAAGGAAAAGAGGAAAGGAAGAGGAAAGGAAGAGGAAAGGGAAATGACAAGGAAAAGGAAAGGCAAAGGAAAAGGAAAGGAAAGGAAAGGACAAGGACAAGGAAAGGGACTATTTGCTGTCTGGAACTACTTTTGAACAAATGGGTATCGCTAAGGTATCGCTAGGGGTATTGCTAATTCCGCCTCTTGCAGGTATGCAATTTTATGCAAAACAACTTCAGATGTGAACATTATGCGCAGTTATAGGCGGTATCGCTTTTGGGGGGGCCGCATCAGGACATAATCCGCCGACCCCAGCCGACGGTAGGGCGCGTGCCAGGAGCATCGATGCTCGTCCTTCTTGCAATTGCTTGCTTGCTTTGGAGCGGGTGCATGTGAAAGCGGCAGCTAGACGGTCAGCTCCATGGGGTTTTGCCCACAAAAAAGGTGATGGTCTCTGTTCAGGACACAGCCTCCCTACCTCCATCAATCACGCCAACAACCACACACAAACACAGACAGCAACACATTTCGACACATACACACACACAATCTAGATAGATAGAGAGATATATATATATATATATATAGGTAGATATATATATATATATATTATATATATATATTATATATATATAGGTAGATATAGATAGATAAATGAAACATCCCACCATCTCCCGCCCATAAGTGCCTCTGTTCGAGGCTCTCCCTGTTCAAGAAACATGTGGCCCCTGTTCAGGGTTCTGCTCCCTTTGCAGGAGACTAATCACCCCTATCCCACTAAAATCATGCCGAGACACCCTTCAGGCCCAGGCACTTCCCGGCTTCATCTTCCGTTGCTTTTTACCGGGGTCAGCGGCAGGGGCCGGCAGCCCTTTAATTTGGCTCCGCCGGCTCCCCACGAGTGGCTTGCCCCACGAGTGGCTTGCCCCATGAGCGTCCCAGAGCGACTAGAGCTCTATGGTGAGGCGCGCCCCAAGCCGCCGACCCTCCGGCGCCGGGCCCCAAAAAACACCAAAAATCCTTCACTCTGCTGGAAAAAAGTTTTTTGGACGGAATTTTGGTCGCTCATAAGCGTCTCCAAGAGCATTTCCCCCCCCCATTTTGAGGGTACCTAAAATCGGAAAAAAACGCCGTTTTGACACATCCTTGAAAGCAAAGCAAAAAACACTGTAAATTACAGCATTTTGGCACATTGATCGCAAAAAAATCTGGTATTTACAGTGTTTTTGCAATTTCAAGAAAACGTGGAAGGCACGAAACACTGTAAATAGCGATGTTTTGGCAACTTTTGGACGCTGAAACGCTGGTATTTACACAGTTGTTTGATGTTTTTTGCCCGTGACGGTACCAAACCCCTGTAAATTACAGCATGCGTTGCTCTTTTTGAACCGATTTTTTGCCTTGCTGAACGCAAAAAACGCTAGTATTTACGCGTTTTCCAAAAAATCGAAAATAGTGACGTGAACGAAACCCTGTAAATAACAGTGGTTTATCCACCTTCGGGGACTAAAACTGTGGTATTTACGCGGGTTCTTGCCATCTGACAGCGCAAAATGCTGTAAATTACAGCGCTTTGGGCGCTGTTTATGTTCAATTTTTAAACGAGCGATGCTTTCACATGTTCTTGGTATTTTTCAACAAGAAACGACGTTACAGATTGATACTAGACGACAGTGTGGCCCGAAAGAAAGTTGGAGGGAGGAGACGAGAAGATAGCACACAAGAAAATATGATGCTGAATGCTGCTGGTGAGTAGCTTTTACACAAAGCGGCGTTTACACACAGAAACTTTTACACACACACACAGGGTCTTTTACACAGAGAAGTCTTTACACAGAGCGGCTCTTAGACACAGAAGTTTTACACACAGAGGCTTTTACACAGAGAAGTCTTTACACTAAGGAGATTTTGCACACAAACGCGTTTACACAGAGGAGCTTTTACACACAGAAGCTTTTACACAGAGAAGTGATTACACAAAGAGCTTTTACACACAGACGCGTTTGCATACAGAAGCGTTTACACAGAGAAGCCTTTACACAGAGGAGCTTTTACACACAAGGGCGTTTACACACAGAAGCTGTTACACACAGACGCTGTTCCGCACAGAGAGCTTTAATACACAGGCGCGTTTACAGACAGAAACTTTTACACAAAGAAGTCTTTACAGAGAGAGCTTTTACACACGGAAGCTTTCACACACAGAAGTTTTACACAGAGAAATCTCTACACAGAGAAGCTTTCACACGCAGAAACTTTTACACACAAAAGCTTTCACACAGAAGTCTTTACACAGAGAAGCTTTACACGCAGAAGCTTTTACACACAGAAGCGTTTACGCAGAGAAGTCTTTCCACAGAGGCGCTTGTACACGAAGTGGAAAGTTGAAAAATTGGCAGCAATTCTTTAGGAAAACCCTTCGCAGGAGCTTTCGGGAACAAGCGTTCCCCACTTGCTCCAAAACGTGCCGATCTGTAACCTGCCCAACAGGACACCAGTTCCACACAGGCGAAGTTCACTGTAAACGATCCGTTCCATACACGTGCCAAACAGGCTCCCCTAGTCTGCTCTTCCAGACATGCCCTTCAAGACAGGCTCGACCGACGGCTGGCCTTTGCAGTGCTCCAGGTCGTCCGCGTGGCTTTGCACTGCCGTTGCTCTGGTCGGTCTGAGCAAGGCTCTGACGCTCGCTTGAGCAAAGCTCTAGCTCACCTCAACTCTATATATTTACGAGTTCGTCTATTTTGCTACTTGCATCTATGGTGGAATGGATGTCGATCCATATCTTCAGATATGCTTCTATGTCGCTACCTTCCTATAGGTTCTAGCTACATCACTGCAACAGCGACAACCACAACCACAACATCAACAACAACAACGGCAACAACAACAGCAACAACCACCACAGCAACACCAACAGCACCAACAACGACCACAACGACGACGACGACGACCACCACCACCACCACCACCACAACCACAACAACAACAACAACAACCACAACAACAACCACAACAACAACCACCACCACCACCACAACAACAACAACACCAGCAGCAACAACAACAACAACAACAACCACAACGACAACGACAACCACCACCACCACCACCACCACCACCACCACAACCACAACCACAACCACAACCACAACAACAACCTCCCCCATAAGCACAACGCCCGCCACAGCCCCTGCCGCCCCAAGGACACCTGCAACCGCTGCCCACCTAGCCCCCAGCTATACCCCACTAGCCCCAAGCTGTACATAAATCGCCTCCCGCTGTAACATACTCTTCACCTCTTGCTCCCTGCTCCACCCCCCTGACCTCAACATGGGCCCCTGGCCGGCTGCCGCGCGTAAGCGCTTAAACAGTGTGTTTTGCACATTCCAGACACAAAGGGAGCCCTGCCTTCATTATTGTTCTACCAGAGTCTTGACCATACCTGATATGCATATAAGAGAGAACTCTCTCCTTCCCGAAACAAATTTCCGGATGCTGTCACCGCACACTTGAGTCTTTAGCTTACCCCCCAGATCCTTTTCCAGAAGGCGCCGGAGGCCGTAGACATGGGACTGGCGCAGAACAGAGCATGTAAGAGGAAAGTTGTCCTTTGCATGTAAGTGACGTATGACTACTGTACATATGGGGATGGGTCATATTCAATTCCCAGGGGACACAGACTGGGGTAATGATTAGTACAGTAATCATGGCAGCATTTTTTGGCGCCATATTGACCCAAACCCATGTCAATGCATTGCTTCTCGGTCGGACGTCATAATGCGAATCAATGTAATGTTGGTTAAATTAAAATAGGTCTTCTTAGAAACATGGGAGCGCAACAGCCATCCTCTACCCAAGTCAAGAAAGTGCTTGATCTTTTCATAACATATACACAGAGCACATTCCCAGCCAATTCAAGACAAGTACAATTTTCTCTGGAGAACGCATATAGCCTTTTGAGATCGCAGTAGACATTGGCTTCACCACGGCATAACACTTGTTGGCTGACCGCAACATAGACAGGTGTTCTGGGAAAGAGTTGTGCTTGTCCATGAAGCAGCATGAACAAATCCAGTTCAAATGCTGGTTTCAACAGGTTTCAACATCCTTCTCAGGGTGCCCGAATCGATATCACCTAGGTAAAAACTAGGTAACTAGGTCACCTGCCAAAGGTTTCAATGTCAGCCGCAGGTGAGGAACAAGAACATAATGATAGTACAAAACTGAAGATTGTACTGATCTGAACTATAGCCAAAATCCAAAACATCCGCAGCCAAACAAACACAGGCACAAACACAAGCACTCACCTTCAACTCCTCCAAGTTGTTCTGATTCTTTGGCGCCTTGCTTACGTGATGCCTCACGGCTGTGAACAGGCAACCCCTATTCTGAGGGACTGCTTAGGGCGTAACAGAACGTAGCAGAACGTACAGTAGCAGGGCGTAGCAGGGCGTAGCAGGGCGTAGCAGGGCGTAGCAATGAAAAGCAGCCAAAAACAATCAGAAACCTCCTAGTAGCGATGCCACTGACTGTGGTAGATGAGAAGTTCAACCCTTCAGGCTTTCAACAAGCCCGCTCCTTTCGAAGTCCTTCTGAATTGGCTGCTTTGTTTTTGGTGAATGAATAGTTATGTGACACTCCCTATGGATCAAGTAGCTCAACAGGAGCGATGAAGTGATTCGACATTCTGCCATTGTGGCGTTGCGCTTTCTGTCTGCGGTATGGTGTTGCTCCTCATGCCTTCACTGATGCACCCTTGAAGCAGCTAATTCCACAAGCGAAACAGGTGCAACCCATGCTGATGTCACTCGTGACACTAGTGCCTACAGTTATAGGACAAGCATGACGAGTTTTCAATCAAGGCATATCAAAGCTCAAGATCTCTGAAGGGTCCAGAGAAAAGCTCAACAGTGAATCGCTTGAGCTCCGCTGAACTGCGCCTTTTCGACTCCAGGATTTTCATCTCTTTCGTCAGCAAACGACAGTCCCGGTCCAACCTCAGCCGGCATCGGGTGACTCAGCACCATGGTTGCTGAGTGAAACACATATTTCCTTTTGGTGTACAGATGCAGCGACAAATAAACTCTTTGGTGGATATTCATTGCTTTTCATGTCTGTCGATGTCAATGTCAAGGCCTTCAAGATCACACAGAAATCCTCAAAAATCTGAAATGTTGGGACGCTGCACATTTTCCGTCCGAGGAGTTGATTAACAGAGCCCGCTATTAGTCAGGAAAGCTAGTGGCATGGACATCATTCCACTCGGGTGAGGGTGGACCTGGTTTGAGCTATTCTCTATCAAATCTATCAAAGCGGTGTACTCTCAAAACACTCAACGCTATGCAAATTGAACTGGCCTCTTCAGCTTCTAAGAGTGGGGGTACAGCACCAAACATCCAACGTACATACGCAATGATTGGCGATACAGTCCGCGTGAATCTCACATTGTATCTGGTTGTCCTGCACTGGCAAAGCTACAAGCCTTTGGAAGAAGAGGCAATGTCAGATTGTGATGAAGGGCACTTCCAAAAATCTAGATTGCTAGAATCTAGATCAGTTTAAGCTGCAGTATCACTTCTTAGACCCAAACCTGTTCAGGGAATCGATCATACCTGACACTTGAAAGGCCATCACGTCGTACACTGGCCTTAGCACAGGTTGTGTTCAGGCCGTTGTAGCCTCCACTATCAGCAGCGGCAGCATCGTTATCATCGTCCTCATCCTCGTCATCACCACTGCCACTCCTCATTACTCCTCATCCTGACTACCGCTGTTAAAGAAATCGGCAATCTAAGAATGAGAAACATCATGACAAGTTTCCATTGAATTGCGCTGTTTCTCAAAGACATCACCCGCTGTCCACTGAGTGGAGGGCTTGTTCTCATTCAAGTGAGACGAAAGCCTCAGGTGTGCATCACGCGACAGGCCCATTCACACCGGACATGGCCAACTAATGCCAACTGTCCCTCCACTGCCAGGGCAATATGGTCAAAATCGACCCGCAAATTTGAATCATGTGGTTAGTTATATGATTGTGTGAAAGCGACAGCCTTTCCCGATTGCTCTGCACTTTTTCCAACGACAAGACTCAAGCTCATTGATTCCCGGTCATTCAACAGAAAACTGAAAGATTGCACAGAATTAGCACACAAGCACCAAACAGGTGGTGACTTGGACTGTGACATGAGTCACTCTCCGGGACATCCCCACCCTTTGGCCAGGCCGTTTCTGTACTAAAATAAAAAATTGTCAGAAGGGCAGCTCCCAAAGTTGCGGCCCTGTCCGCACTTTGCCCACCGATCAGGGCAAGAAACATGTTGGTCACCTTGACGAGATGTTCAGTCTGGGATTTTTGATCCACAAAGTGACGAGAATCCGAAGACATCATTTCGCTGTACCTGGGCGCGAATGGCAAGGAAATTTCGTTAAAATTCGCAATGTTTTCAGCAACAGCGATCCTTTTGCACCCACGTTTCCTCTTGCAAAGATATCTGACCAGAAAATTGAAGAGCATTATGAATTTGAAGATCGGATAAGTGCCAACGTTATAAATATAAATAAAGTACCACACAGATGTAATATTATATTAACTATATTGTACATTATGTATTTACCTATACAAGTGGCTCAACTAACCGCAAGCTGCCATCGCAAGTTCCATCACACCATGGCCAGACTCGGTTCGGCCAAGGAGCTGGGTTTGCTCCGCCACGGACGCTCCAATCACGTCCTCCCCGATGGCTTCGTCATCAAAGTTGGTCACCTCAACCTATCACCGCATGCGAGCGCTGCGGGGTGGTTCAGTTCTGGGGGTCATAGAGATTCAACCAGTGCTATGCGACAACGCGACGCAACGCAACATACGCCAGTTTACACCCTGAAATTGCAGGATATACAATACTGGATGGCCGAAGGAAGTTTAGAAGTCAAACTTCCGACAACATGGACAGATGGAAAAGCAGAGGTGGGCGAAGTTGTGGCGCGAAGCACAATTACAAGTCAAAATGTACAAAAGCACACCAGGTTCGGTGCACTTTTGGAAGTTGAGATGTCGAAAAATTGCACGCCGTTGTGGGGCGAAGCACACTTACAAGTCAAAATGTACAAAAGCACACCATGCTCGGAGCATTTTTGGAAGTTGACATGTCGAAAAAGTGCACGCCGTTGTGGCGCGAAGCACATTTCGAAGTCAAAAGCGCACTTACAGTACAACAACAACAACAACAACAACCACAACCACAACCACAACCACAACCACAACAACAACAACAACAACCACCACGACGACGACGACTACTACTACTGCTACTGCTGCCTCTGCTGCTGCTGCTGCTGCTACTGCTACTACTACTACTACTACCACCACCACCACCACTACCACTACCACAGCTACAACTACAATTACAACTACACTACATTACGCTACACTACACTAATTACACTGCAGCGCGCTACCACTACAAATACAAATACAAATACAACTACACTACATTACACTACACTACACTACACTAATTACAGTGCATTACGCTACAACTACAACTGCAACTACAACTACATTACACAACACTACACTACACTACACTAATTCACTACACTACGCTAATTCACTACACTACACTACAACTACAACTACACTACTTTACACTACACTACACTAGGCTACACTATACTATACTACACTATAGTACACAACACTCCAGTACCCACCTGCAACTGCAACTGCACTACACTAAGGGTGTAGAATAGTTTTTGGTTTTTTTTTGCCTCAGGTTTTGGATCTTTTTTTGGCTTTCTTTCCCGGTACCATTTGCCTTGTATTTGCAACAGTTTGGAACTAGAACCTGTCATTTTGCATGGTATTTGATACATTTTGGTGCTTCAAACGTTCATGTGGGTCTCTTGAGGGTTCTTTAGGCTTTCATTTAGGGTTTCATTTAAGGTGTCATTTAGGGTTTCATTTAAGATTTCATTGAGGGTTTCATTTAGGGTTTTATTTACGGCTTCATTTGCGGTTTCATTTAGGGTTTCATTTAGAGTTTCTTTAGGGTTAGGGTTTCTTTAGAGTTTCATTTAGTTTTTTTTCCCGGTTTCATGTAGGGTCTCTTATCGGGATTTCTTATCAGGAGTTCTAAACGCTCAAATGGGTTTCTTTAGGGCTTCTTTAGGGTTTTATTTAGAGTTTCTTTAGGGTTTCGTTTCGGGTTTCATTTAGGGTTTCTTTAGGGTTTCAGTTTGGGTTTCATGTAGGGTCTCATTTAAGGTGTCTTTAGGGTTTCATTTAGAGTTTCTTTAGGGCTTCTAGTGTTTCATTTAGGGTTTCTTTAGGGTTTCATTTAGGGTTTCTTTAGGGTTTAATTTAAGGTTTCTTTAGGGTTTCAATTTAGGGTTTCAATTTAAGGTTTCATTCAGGAGTTCATTTAAGCTTTCTTTAGGGTTTCATTCCAGGGTTTCTTATCAGGATTTCTTTTCACGATTTCTAAACGTTCAAGTGGGTTCCTTTAGGGTTTCATTTAGGGTGTCATTTAGGGTTTCTTTAGGGTTTCATTTAGGGTTTCTTTAGGGTTTCATTTTGGGTTTCCATTTAGGGTGTCATTTAGGGTTTCTTTAGGGTGTGAATTTATGGTGTCAGCTAAGGTGTCTGTTAAGGTTCATTTAGTTTTTTTCAGAGTGTTGTTTAAGGTTTTTTGGGATGTCCTTTAGGGTGTCATTAAAAGTTTCTTTAGGGTTTTATTATATTTATGTTTCTTTAGGATTAATTTATGGTTTCTTTAGGGTTCATTCATGGTTTCTTTAGGGTTCATTTAGGGCTTCATGTAGGGTTTCTTACCAGGATGTCTTTAAGGTTTCTTTGGGTTTCACCTAGGGTCTTTATAGGGTTTCATTTAGGATACAAACAGAACAGAATAAAGCAAAAGAAAATGAAAAACAAAGAGACAGTAAAGACAGGAAGCAAAGAAACAAAGGAGCAGGAAATAGAGCAGCAAAAGCACATGACTGAAGAAAAGAAAAAGTATAATAGTAGAAGTAGAAAGGCACAGAAGTACAAAAGCAGAGAAGCAGGGAAAACAAAGAAGCAGAAAAGCAAAGAAGCATGAAAAGCAAAAAGAAGAAAAGCAGAGAAGCAGGAAAAGCAGAGAAGCAGGGAAAGCAAAAAGCAGAAAAGCAGAGAAGCAGGAAAAGCAGAGAACCAAGGTAAGCAGAGAAGCAGAAAAGCAGAGAAGCAGAAAAGCAGAGAAGCAGAAAAGCAGAAAATCAGAGAAACAGGAAAGCATAGAACCAGGAACCCCCCCCCCAAAAAAAAAACTGACGCGAAAAAAAATCAAAAAATAAATAGCCCTCCCTACACAAATTACACTACACTACAACTACAACTCCACTACACTACAACTACAACTACAGCTGTGCTACACCGCACTACATCCAGCAGCCGCGGACGAGGTGACCACCGCAACCATCGCAACCACTCCAAAAAGCACAATTCCAACCACCTTTCGGTCCATCAGTGGATAACGAACCTCTCATATAGGTTTCCTATTTTTGAAACTTCCGCCACCGCCTTGCGGGGTACTACTGGTAAAGACATTCCATTATTTATGAGGGTGCCAATCATTCTCCCATGATCTTCTAGTTGAAAAATAACCCTGGATATCAACAAACTACTACCCAGAATTTCTGGAGCAATCAACCCTGAATGTGGGTCAATTATTTTACTGACACTAGTAAAGCAGAATCAAACTAGGTAAGGGCTGTCTCATGTTTGGGGCTCTGAACTGCAGGTATGAATGTATGTTGTGTACATAGGTAAAACCAAAACATGTTTTCAACCATGTTCAATGTATATATCAGAAACAGTTGAGGCCTGCTGTTGTAAGTTCAGGGATGGACCTGTACAGTACAGTAAACCGCAGTTCTCAGCTTCAACCCCGCCAAGCCTTTGTCAAAGAGACGCTATCCGGCAGTTTCGTGCCTGAACCTTGGGCAAGCTGCTCTCGTCAAGTAAAGAAAACGTAGATGTAAGTGGACGAGCTACAACGTTCTGTTGGACTCGTTGGCTGCTGGGTATGCAGAGGGGAGCTTTCAAGACTCAAACATGAACAACCACAACCACTTGCACCTCATTTTGAGATCCAACCACCACTTTGAAGCATGGCAGCAGTGATCAGCAGTGACCAACCACCAGACCTCAGCACCTTGACTTGTCTGGGGCATCACACCACTCCAGGCCGAAAAACCAATGTATCCTCCCACCTGTCACCATTGCACATGCTAGCCGCTGCTTTGCCAGTTTTTGAATATGTGCTTCGCGAGCGAGGTCAGCAAAGCCCTGCTTTATAACCAAGACTCCAAACATAGGAAAGAGAATGAAAGAGACACACAAGAGACTTCAACCTGTCTTGAAACTTTATATACTGTCCATGACCCAGCTGGACTTCTGCGGAGCTTCAGTGCATTTCGGTGCCTTCACGGGAAAGCTCTTGCGATCCACCGAGAAGCAGTCATGCTTGATGCCATCCACCACCAAACTTGCCTCTCGCGCCACTATAAAGCGTTCCAAATCCATGACTTTGCTATTAGCTATGTTTTAGATAATGTCGCCGGTTCCAAAGGACACCTGGATCCTTGTGTAATGAGCATTACATCATGAGGGTATTCAAATATCATGTAACCCAAGTCTACAAAGTGCCAAATGAAATTCTAATTTTAGTGCTGAAAACCCAAGTACAAAAGTACTGGTCGTTCAGCCTTCACAAAGGAAAGCTATCTGTCAATCTGCTTTCACCACAAAAACCAGATCCTGCATGGTGCTGCCAACCCAAGGTAAGCGGCACCTGCACCAGCGTGGGTTGCACTCGGAAGGTGAACTCCACTTCTTTGTTCCGAAAGTCAATGACCTCTCAAAGTAGCAAGACACTTTTTCTCGTTCAAACATGGTCAAACGTGTCAAACTGGTGAGCCATAAGTAGATGTCTGCCCGGACTCTCACGAAAAGGCTGCACAACGAATCGACATCAAGGTTTGGTCTTGCTTCACACTGCAGATCTCGGCAACCGGGGAGACATGAAACTCCCTGTAGAAATTCAATGAATACTGTGTTGGGCGGCTTGCAACCTGGCATCCTGGCCTTCGCGCTGCTGCTGGGTACATCTATGCCATACTGAAGGCTTTGGTGATTATCATTGCCTGGAGGGCTGCAAGGCTGCAAGGCTGCAAGGCTGCAAGGCTGCCGTGAGCGAGGAAAGTGGGTCCATCATGCTTGGGTTGTTGGCCATGTCCCCCCTCATGGCTCCAAGCATTTCAAGTGTTAGAGTAGCATGAGTTGCCGAGGGGAAGAGGAAATCGTCAAGAACAGCTTGTGGACCCATTGTGGCCCAACTACGGATTCATTCCGAATCAAACCAAGCCACCTACATTCCTATGTTTCCTGGGGTCCTACATGGGGTGGAATGTCTGTTATGGTGGGGCTGACATCGTCATTAAATCGTCGTTGTTTGAAAGATTTATAGCAACCCTTTGTGGAGCGCTTCATTTCAGGTATTCTTTGCCAAACCACCCCAAGGAAGCACACTAAAGAAAAGCAAAAAAAAACTAAAAGCTTCTAAAAGTGTTCTTTGCCTCCTGGTGGGTTTCGATCGCACTTGCTAATTGAATGGCCCTAAAGCTGCATTTATATACTCAGGGCTGCTTCCAACCCATGGTGGGGTGGAATGAATGTTGGCTCATGGGGTCGGAAAGTTCACCCTGGGGGCCTCATACTTTGATGACATATCCTGGCATTGTTCCACCATGTTCCACCCCCATCAAGCCCACCTCTAAAGTCTGAGACTGCGTTGCCAACTCACAATTTCTGAATATTTCTAAACATATCCTTGGCAGGGAAAATCTTAGGTTTTTCTTATGACCAACGCGGCATAGCTCTGGTTGAAAAACCTGGAATCGAGTTCGGTCAATACCTTTCTGAATTCCTGGCATGACCACGAACAGGAAAAAGTCGGCGCTCCAGCGTAAACCAGTGAACATTCAGTGAATACATGAATATTTTATTAATATTTATTAATTATCCAGTCTGACGCCAACATTTCGCCCCTAGGAACCTTACCCGAATGAAGCATACTTTTTTTGGGAAGTTTCCCTGCCAATCTGAATCTCACTCAACAAAGCGGACCTTAATGCTGGATATACTCACACCATGCGCAGACTGTATGTTGGGCAGCCCTGCTGACAAAAGAAATGGCGGTGCTTGGCTTCTTGTTGAAGTCCGAGGTGGAAAAAACCTTGGCGAAGCTCTGGATGGCACCAAACTTGAGAGTTATACATATATATATTAATTGTATAAACTGTAAATGTGGATATGACATTGTAATTTCAAAAAGCTCCAAATAACTTCACTGTATCCCTGAATGTGACAGTGACAATATGTTTAAAAAACTGCTTCAGGCAATGGTCTGTGTCTCAAAGCTAGGTATCTCCTAATGAGAAATAGCCATCCGAATAAAGAGAACTGATGTGGGGTTCATATTGGGTTCACGGAGTTTCTAAACCAGGCCAGCATCGACATTCATCGGTGCTGGTCACTGAGTCTCTAACTGCTCCAATGCCTTCGAAGAGTGCCTGGCCCATTTGCTGAAAAGAAAGAAACATGTCGAAAAGGCATTAAAAAGCTACAAAATCGATCAAAATCAACCGACCAAACAGCCGTGAGGACATGGGTACAGAGTTGGGACAAGAGATTAGATATTCCATCACTCAAAATAGACAAAAACATGACAAAATAGGTGATAAAATCCTATCTATCAGCTAGGCGCCTTTGACCCGCTAAGCATGTAGCCCTCATCCGTCAACCCCTGTCTCCAAGAAGACGCCTTAGTCACACGACATCCAAGTGGCGGTGAAGGCGGGTGGTCGATCCCAAGTTGGTAAAACAGCGGATGGACATTGTGGTCAGATGTGGTCCGATGTGGTCCGATGTGGTCCGATGGGTTTGTGCCATCGGGAGTCCCAGCGCGGATCATGCGACTCTCGTTGAAGTCACCCGAGATGTTCTGCCGAACAAACCAAAAGGCAAAGCTTTGGTCCTCCGGAACCTGGCTCAAAGGCTGCGCTGTGGGACGCTGACCACTGACGCTGTGGGTCCATGGCTTACCTGGAGAATTCATGCCACAGGATCGGATGTTGACTGGCAATCTTGAACATTTTGTCTTGCTACATGCTACACCAGTAGTCACTGAATCAACTATGACAACAAGACCAGGTTCAAGACATGAATTCAATTCATTAACCGTCATTAACATTTCTTACGCATGGCCCTGCTTTTGGGTCCAAGATGAAACTCCAAACAGTCTGCCTAGCCTCCTCCACCTTGGCAGGGCCGCTGGTGCGGAGGCCCACAGTGACCTGCGGCCAGGCAGAATGAGGGACTCTGCCGACATCTAGCGACCCTCTACCGACATCTACAAATTCGTCCCAGGTTCCCACCTGGAAGTCGTTGGTCTGCAGGGGTCGCTTGTTGAAAGCAAATCCCTGACCTCAGGTGACATGGAGAGCATCTGTCAGTCCTGATCGAAGTCGAGCCAAAGGGATCTGGGTCTGACTAGATAGCTGATAGCTTGCACAGTGCCTCAGTTCTGTAGTTATCAGGTGTCAACAACTTGAAAGGCCTGGAATGAGCATCATGAAGTTATGAAGTTGTTGACGATATGCGACCATTCTGCCATATCTTGCCTTGAGCACACTGCATCAATGCCTCAAAGTAGGGGGGCTTTTGAATGCCTCCATCAGGTAGTACGTCGGACTTTCACAAGTAGATCAGCAGACTTCGGTTTGCAGAAATTGGCACATTGATCGACGCCACTGCTGAAAGATTTGACAACACGTTGTGCCAGTATCATGCAGCAAGAAATTGGATGGCAGTGTTGGTTATCTTCCAGGAGCAATAGTGGCTTGTTCAGAGCAAAGGACTCATAGTCTACAAGCATAGAAGCATAGCATCGTATTGTCATCCCTATGCTTCAAAATTACAATACCCTTTGCAGGCCAGACACGTTCCAAGACACCAGGATGCAGCACCAATCGCTCCCTGCCAGGTCGTTCAAAGGGGCCAAGCGACTGTACATCATTGAGACAGTTTTTCGTACAAATCCATTTGGTAGTGGAACATGTGCTATGTATGCAAAAAAATCTTCTGGAGCCTATAGTTGCACCTTCATGACAGTAGTTCTTGTAGCTCATCACCCGCCGCTGTGCCACATACGAATGGACAAGAAATGGTATCGAAATGCATTGGAAAGATCTATATTATCTTTTTTTATCTATCTACCTATTTACGTATATACCCATTCATTGATTGATTCATCCGGTCCGTCCCTCGATCAATCTATCCACCTGATATGTGTATATCTATCTATCTATCTATCTATCCATCTATCTGACTGTCTATCTATCTATCTATCTATCTATCTTAGCTTAGCTTAGCTTAGCTTATCTTATCTTATCTATCTATCTATCTTACCTATCTCTCTTACCTATCTATCTATCTATCTATCTTATCTTATCTTATGTGGATATACCAATATCTACCATCAATTCATCTACAGTCATTTGAGATACAACATCAATTCATCTGCAATCAAGTATCAAAGGGCCATACTTAGGTTGTGGCGCGCTAAAATCGAACGATTTGCCCCCGACTGCCAAGAAAGCCCAAGCGAGGAGATATCCCTTGAGACCCATCTTCTAGCACCTCTCGAAAATGCTGGCTCCGCTGAGCATCCAGTCTCCAAGAAGATTCGTGTATTCTATCCTCAGCGGCTGCAAGGTGGCAGGCACTTCGCAGTCTATTCCAAGCCATCTTACCACGAGGGGCACACAATTGCAGGGTCCCCAACCCAAAAAAAACTGCTGATTGTTCTGAAACAGGGGACAGTACCCGGGTTGGGTATCTTGCACTTGGATACTTTGAAGAGCCCAGGACTTTGGTTGATGGATATTCTGAGCCAAGTGGTTGATCCCACAATGGTCCATCTCAGATTGCGCGGGTTTCTTCCATCAACTGTCTAGTGTCCATCCAGTCCATCCAAGAACCGCGCCAAAGGTAGTCCTCTAGTCAGCTCAATTGCTTTCCAGACCGCTTGAGGCACCCACGGAATCGAAAAGGAATGATGCGGTAGAGCCACCTGGACCGAGTAAAGTCCCTCTCCTCACAACGACATGAGTTTTGGGTTGCCCGTAGTTTACATAATCAAAGGGTGAAATGGCATGACTACTATCATACTATCATCACCATCATCTACTATCCCTGCAGGGTCACCAACACCTTAAGAAGTTTACGGGTCGTGCTTGAGCATGATTTGGCCCAGGGTTAACGTCTTGGTAAAGAACAATGCACAAAGAAAAGAAATGCCACACCCCCGAGCTCCCCCAATTCACAACATATGCGTGACACCAGTTTGAATCATCAAAACATCTCAAAAGTGGGATTTTGTCCGCATGGATTTTGCCAAAATCCCAAGGGTGTTGGGGCCAGCATCTGTAGTTATTCCTCCAATTCGTCCACTTTATTCCTGCTCTCATTCCCGTCCAACATTCACCCAAGATCTGACCTTCTTGAACTCGGCATTACCATGCTTTGATCCAGCTTCAGCTAAAAATGCTAGAAGCAGCTGCAAACAGACCTTGGCACTCGGTCAGCTTCTCTGCTGACACGTTCGGTACCTGTTGGTGAATCTGATGTGGGACATGGCCAGCTGCATACATACCCTCCAGTAAAGATGTTCACTAGATCTAATCTAATCCCCTGGCATCCCCTGGCCGTTCCACCCTGTGGCCCGGGCCATCAACCATCTCTCATTCCAAGCCATGATCAACCCCGACCGGTGGAGATGTGACCACTTTCAAACCGGACGGCTTTGCAGGTGGTCTGAGCTGAGGGATACCATATTGGACCATGACTGCCTGGTGCCCAAAATTTTGCTTGACCTGCTTGACCTTCAAAGATGTGCGCCAAGCGTTTACTTCCCGGACTTGCTCTCCAAGCTCTTGCAGCATCTGGTTTGCTGCATATGTGTCGGGAGGTTGCTGGCTGCGGGTGAATTTGGGAATGGCCCAATTGTCTGCAGGAAGGATGGCCTGGTGGGGGTTGAGTGTTTCAGTACTGCTTGACAGTTGCTGCTGCGTGCGCAAGGAGTTGTATGAATAGCTGACATTTTCGCAAGTGCTTGTTTCATGGCAACAAAGGTCTATATATCAAAGCTAAACCATTCGAGCCAAGCAAGCGGCAACTGCCCAATAATTAACGTCCCCCACACTTAGCCATAGCTAGACATAGGAAAAACCAGCAACCAGGAATAAGGACGAGACTTCTGGGGTCCAAATTTCATGTAACATCAGCAGTCAGCAATACATATACCAGTAGGGTGGCGGAAGTTTCAAAGATAGGACACTATAGGAGAGGTGAGTTGTTGTGACGCACGGATGGCAGAGCGAATCCACTGATGGATGGAAAGGTGGTTGGAGCTGTGTTTTTTGGAGTGGTTGCGATGGTGGCGGTGGTCACCTCTGTAGTGTGGTGTGGTGCAGCTGTAGTTGTAGTTGTAGCGTAGTGGAATTGTAGTTGTGGTGTAGTGAAATTAGTGTAGTGTAGTTGCAGTTGCGTTTGTGGTGGTGTAATGAGCGTAATGTAATGTAATGTAGGGTAGTGTAGTGTAGTCTAGTGTAAAGTACCGTAGTTGTAGTTGTAGAAGTGGTTGAAGTTGTAGTTGTAGCTGTAGTGTCGCGTCGTGTGGTGTAGTGTAGTGTAATGTAATGTAATTAGTGTAGTGTAGTGTAGTGTAGTGTAGTGTAGTGTAGTGTAGTGTAGTGTAGTGTAGTGTAGTGTAGTGTAGTGTAGTGTAGTGTAGTGAGTGTAGTGCAGTGTAGTGGTAGGTGTAGTTGGAGCTGCAGTTTGTAGTTGTAGTTGTAGTTAGTGCAGTGTAGTGTAGTGAAGCGTAGTGAAGTGCAATGTAGTGTAGCATAGCGTAGTGTAGTGTAGCGGAGTGTAGTGTAGCGTAGTGTAATGCAATTAGTGTAGTGCAGTGTAGTGTAATGTAGTGTAGTTGTAGTTAGTGCAGTGTAGCGTAGGGTAATTGAGTGTAGCGTAGTATAGTGTAGTGCAGTGTAGCGTAGCATAGTGTAGTGTAGCGGAGTGTAGTGTAGTGTAGTGCAATGCGATTAGTCTAGTGTAGTGTCGTGTAATGTAGTGTAGGTGTAGTTGTAGTTGTAGTCATAGTTATAGTTGTAGTTGTAGTTGTAGTGTAATGTAGTGTGGTGTAGCGGAGTGGAGTGGAGCGGAGTGGTGTGGAGTGTAGTGTAGTATAGTGTAGCGTAGCGTAGCGTAGTGGTGGTTGTAGTTGAACCTGCTACAAAACCCTCACGTTTTTGCTCCTTTTCACATACCAACTTCAAAAAGTGCTCCGAGAATGTGTACTTTGTGCATTTTGACTTCGAAATGTGCTTCGCGCCACAACGGCGTGCACTTTTTCAACATCTCAACTTCCAAATGTAGTCTGAACGTGGCGTGCTTTCTACATTTTGACTTGGAAACGCGCGTCGAGCCACAGCGGCGTGCACTTTTCCAAAATCTCTGTGCGGTTTGTGCATTTTGACTTGGAAATGTGCTTCGCGCACAACGGCGTACACTTCTTCAACATCTCAACTTCCAAGAGTGGTCCGAACATGAGGTGCTTTGTACATTTTGACTTCGAAGTGTGCTTCGCGCCACAACGGCGTGCACTTTTTCTACATGTCAACTTCCAAAAGTGCTCCGGGCATGGTGCGCTTTGTGCATTTTGACTTGGAAATGTGATTCGCGGCACCAAACGTCGTGCAATTTTTCATCTCTCATCTGGCCACATGGCTCCGCACCCGCCGCTTTAGCGAGCCTACTTTTCGACCCTCCGGAGCCACAAAACATTGGAAAAAACACAGTGTTTCGCGACTTTTTCTACATTTTCGCGCACCTGCATCTTCTTTCTTCTCACTCTTTCTCTGCTCTGATCTTCTCCCTTCTGCTCTTCTCTTCTCTGACTCTGCCCACCTCTCCTTTTCCATCTGTCCATATTGTCGGAATTTTGACTTCTAAACTTCCTTCGATAAATGTTGAGGTCTTGCTCCCCAAGTCTGAACGGTTTCCCTCTTTGTCTAATTACATCAATTCATGCTGTGTGCTAGGTACTCCGCACCAGCCGCAACCTTTTTCATTCGGCTGGTCTTTCAACCTGTGGTGCCTCAGCGATTTTTGGAATCCTCCAGTGTCTGAGCTCTGGTGCAATCTCAAGATTATGTCTTTTCAGAAAATGGGAGGACATCATCATCACTGCAAGTGCAAAATCTCAGCGCAATCCTTGAGCTTCCCGTTCCCACCCAACAGCTGGGAGGGCTACATTAGCGGGTCAAGATCTGGTGTTTGCCAGCATTGCGAAAGATCTCAGTGGCCAAGGCAGCGGAGGTTCAAGAATGGTTGTGCCATGTTGTGCAAAGGAACTTTCGCCAGAAGAATCCAGCAATTGGCTGCAGAATCTTTGGTGTTCGGGGTGTGTCCAGCTGCCCTGAGTTGATTTGGGGTCCACAATCAAAAAAGAAAGTATCTGACAAGTTAAAAAAACATGGGAGTTCGAATAAGGGTTGCACCGTGTCTAGAGAGATCCGGATGCTCCCAGAGGTCTTGGTCACCATTTTGGAACGGACCTGGGGCAGCGCCATTCATCGCTTCTGTGCTCTGGCCCAAGCACACAAAATCACAATTTCAAATACATTGCTTGTCCCAAAAACTGAGATCTCCATTATCCTCCATTTCCTGGTCTGCTATTTATGAGATTCCATCAGCAAAAAAAGATCTTCATTGAAACAACCTTGGCAACCAACACTGGGCCTCTGTGGATGTGGCATTGAGCACGTCTGCACGTGCAGCAGGTAGAGCTCCAGGGTCGGTTCCCAGCACACCATTCACAGCGCGAGCCTGTTGTTGTGATGGTCAACCTATGGGAAGAATGGGACCCCTTACATTGATTTACACAGGGGATGATGAAAGAGATTGCAGGGATATAACCAGCCCGTTCGGCTCATTCAACCCCTGTTTTCAGGATGATGGCGCCGGATTTTCAGCACGGTCATAGCCCAAGTACGGACTGCGAGCTGTTGAGTGTCTGAAAGCAGTTGAGTCGTTTGCTTTGCAGTACAACAGAATCCCCTCAAAAGTAAGGATGGATAGTTGCAGCTGCAAGTAGCATGTATAGTGGCTTCTCGACATGAAGACTACCCGGTCAGCCCCCAAATCTTTGTTGCTTACTTTTTCTGGTACTGTTTTCATCTATTTTCATTCAAGAAGAGTCTCCAAACTCTTAGCTACGGCGATCCCACTCCAAAAAATCCATACACCTCAAAATTGCGGCACAAAACATCCGTACCCCTGGACGCTGCGCCTCCTCCAACACGCCTCGCGCCAATGGGCGCCAGGAGCGGCACGTCAGCTCAGAATGGCCGCAGACGTTGGGCAAGGCCACACAACCGTACGCCACGGTCCTGCAATGGACTGTTATATGGACCAAAAATTGCCAGTAGGAAGAAAATAAAAGAAAAAAAACCTCCCGGATACCCTCACTTGGATAACAGCGAAACATCTTGGAAAACTATTTCTAGTCGCCCAATATATTGTCAAACGTTGCCAAATGCAGGAGCAGGGCTAAACCCTGCAATGGGGGACAGAACCCGCAGAAAATTGTAGTGTCAAACACCTTTCCTGATTGCGGAACAGAAGACATATGAGGTGTTCAAACTTTACGGTCGATTGTTTTGAAATACATAGGCATCTTGTTGTGTGCGCCAAATTTTCAACACTCTTGATGAATCAGTTTGAAGTTCCACAAACCAATAACCAAGGATTGTGGGGATTCCAAACTTTGCAGTCAAGTGGCTCGATCCGCCCGCACGCATCCAACTTTAGGATCTGCAGGTGCAGTTTGGGCCAATTCGCCACCGAATCTGCAATGAAGTGGAAGTCAATGGGATGATTGAAGACATACCTCTGCAAATCGTCGTGGCTTGCGGCGCAAACAAATCTGTACAGAAATGAGGCGAGATGCATGTGGTGTAAACTCATCGTCACCGTCATTGTCACCGTCATCGTCATCGTCCTCCTCCTCTTCCTCCCCATCATCATCATCATCATCATCACCATCATCATCACCATCATCATCATCATCGTCATCATCCTCATCCTCATCGTCGTCGTCATCATTTGCAAGACACTCAATTGCTGTCTGCTTGTGAGAGGGGCGTTCAAATCCAAACAGTCGTTCAGAGTCTGTTCAATCGACTCTTAGTACCAGTAGTACCGCACAAGGCGGTGGCGGAAGTTTCAAAAATAGGAAACCTATAGGAGAGATTGGTTGTTGTGAATCAGGGATGGCAGAGCGAATCCACTGATGGACCGAAAGGTGCTTGAGGTCTCCTCTCTTTCTCTGACTATCTACCTACCTATCTATCTTCTATGTATTATGTATCTATCTATCTATCGATCTATATATCTATCTCTCTCTCTCTCTTTCATTTAATTCCCTATCTATCTATCTATCTACCTATCTATCTATCTATCTATCTCTCTCTCTCTCTTTCCTCTGTCTATCTGTCTAACTGTCTACCTGTCTATCTGTCAAACTATCTTTCTGTCTATCTGTCTACCTGTCTATCTGTGGCGCAGTGTCATTCAATGTAATGTAGTGTAGTGTAATGTAGTGTAGTGTAATGTAATGTAGTGAAGTGTAGTGTAGTGTAGTGTAGTGTAGTAATAGTGGAGTGTGTAGTGTAGTTTAGTGTAGTGGAGTGTAATTGTGTAGTCGTAGTTGTAGTTGTAGTGTGGTGGAGTGTAGTGTAATGTAGTGAAGTGTAAGTGGAAGGTAGTGTAGTGTAGTGTAATGTAGTGTAGTGAGTGGAGTGTAGTGTAGTGTAATGTAGTGTAGTGTAATGTAGTGTAGTGGAGTGTAGTGGAGTGAAGTTGTGTAGTCGTAGTTGTAGTGTGGTGGAGTGTAGTGTAGCATAGTGTAATGTAGTGAAGTGTAGTGGAAGGTAGTGTAGTGTAGTGGAGTGTAGTGTAGTGTAGTGGAGTGTAACGTAGTGTAATGTAGTGTAGTGTAATGTAATTTGGTGTAGTGGAGTGTAGTGGAGTGTAGTGTAGTGTAGTTGTGTAGTTGTAGTTGTAGTGTTGTGGAGTGTAGTGTGGTGTAATGTAGTGTAGTGTAGTGGAGTGTAGTGTAGTGTAATGTAGTGTAGTGTAGTGAAGCGAAGCGAAGCGACATCTGAACCTCCAAAAGTGGTCCGAACCCCTGGTGCCCCCAACATTTTGACTTCGAAATGTGCTTCGTCCCACAACGGCGTGCACTTTTTCGACATCTGAACCTGCAAAAGTGGCGCGAACATGTGGTGTTTTGAACATTTTGACTTCGAAATGTGCTTCGCGCCACAACGGCGTGCACTTTTTCGACATCTCAACTTCCAAAAGTGGTCCGAGAATGGTGTGCTTTGCACATTTTGACTTCGAAATGTGCTTCGCGCCACAACGGCGTGCACTTTTTCGACATCTCAACTTCCAAGAGTGGTCCGAGAATGGTGTGTTCTGTACATTTTGACTTCGAAATGTGCTTCGCGCCACAACGGCGTGCACTTTTTCGACATCTCAACTTCCAAAAGTGGTCCGGGCATGGTGCGCTTTGTACATTTTGACTTCGAAATGTGCTTCGCGCCACAACGGCGTGCAATTTTTCATCTCTCATCTGGCCAGCTGGCTCCGCACCCGCCGCTTTAGCGAGCCTACTTTTCGACCCTCCGGAGCCTCAGATCATTGGAAAAACACAGTGTTTCGTGACTTTCCTACCTTTTCGCGCATCTGCATCTGCTTTCTTCTGACTCTTTCTCTTCTCTGATCTTCTCTCTTCTACTCTCCTCTTCTCTCTGCCTCTGCCAGCTCTGCTTTTCATCTGTCCATATTGTCGGAAGTTTGACTTCTAAACTTCCTTCGATCAATATGTGTTCATGCCGCCCTTGCCCCTGTTGCCAAAGACACACTCCCTGCGCATCTGCATAGCAGGTCTGCGTCTGCCCCACAAAGCCCTCCTTTCGGGCAATGGGCAACCAATCTGCTCCAGCATCAGCAGCATAGTCCACAAACAACCCATCATCCAAAGAGAGGCCTGGAACTGGATTGGACAGGTTCAAAGGTACATGGCGGTGTTTTTTTTTCAGGCACAACCAAGAAAACTAAGAACTTAAGTTTGCACGCGGTCTGCACATTTCCATTCGATTTTGGTAAGCACCACTTGTTGAATACATCCTCGCTACTTGCAAGTAGCCCCCGTAGTGCGCAAGTTAGGCCCCTAGTTTTCAGGAAGAAACCCACGCACAGATTCGAAGGTTCAACTTGCCCGTGGTAACTTGCCCGTGGTAGCGTCCTGGGAAGTCCCAGCCAAACCTCAGCAAGTCACTGCATGCCACAAGGGCATGAGCCCAGGAAACTGTTTCACATTGGCATCTTGGTTTTTCACACCCAAAGCTAAGTTTCTTTCAAAGCATGTATACATGTATAGTAGTGATGTATAGTATAAATTCGTGTATATACATCTCTATATAGTGAACTACATTTTTTCTTTTCTGACCATGCAAACAAGTAGTGTACATTTATTGGTAAACAAACGCAAACTGGCGAGAAGTTGGTGTCTTTTGGTCTTCATGCCATATGTTTGATGTTTGCATGCATGAATTGATGTTTATACGTACATACGTACGTATGTACTGTACTCTAAGGTACTGTATTGTACTGTAATATATTGTCGTCCAATGTACTGTGATGGAATGCAATGCAGCGCAGTGCAATACAATTCCTGCAATGGATGGGACGGGATGGGATGGGATTGGACGGGCGGACGGATGGATGGATGGATGGATGGACGCACAAACGTACATATAATGTCATATAATTATGATTTTACAAAATAGACACGCACACACACACACAAACGCAGGTACGTATGTCCTTCTTCTCCTTCTTCTCCTTTTTCTCCTTCTTCTCCTTCTTCTCCTTCTTCTCCTTCTTCTCCTTCTTCTCCTTCTTCTCCTTCTTCTCCTTCTTCTCCTTCTTCTCCTTCTTCTCCTTCTTCTCCTTCTTCTCCTTCTCCTTCTTTTCCTTCTTCTCCTTCTTCTCCTTCTCCTTCTTCTCCTTCTCCTTCTTCTCCTTCTCCTTCTTCTCCTTCTTCTCCTTCTTCTCCTTCTTCTCCTTCTTCTTCTCCTTCTCCTTCTTCTCCTTCTCCTCCTTCCTCTCCTTCTTCTCCTTCTTCTCCTTCTTCTCCTTCTTCTCCTTCTTCTCCTTCTTCTCCTTCTTCTCCTTCTTCTCCTTCTTCTCCTTCTTCTCCTTCTTCTCCTTCTTCTCCTTCTTCTCCTTTTTCACCTTTTTCTCCTTTTTCTCCTTCTTCTCCTTCTTCTCCTTTTTCTCCTTCTTCTCCTTCTTTTTCTTCTGCTTCCTCGCTTTATTCTTTTTCCTGGTTGCGCTACGTCCTCTTCATTGTTCTTTTGGCTGCTTGTGTATCTTTTGGTTTCTGTGCTTCCTGATACATTTCTATGGTTGTCGTTGGTGGCCTTCGTCGGTTTTGCAGACCAGAACTTTGCAATGTGCGAAATCGGAGAAGCAGCAAAGAAGAGAAGATAGAGAAATTAAAGCAAGACGGACGAAGCACAAAAGCAGAGGAGCTGAGCAAACAGGAAAGAAGGGAAAAAACGAGAAGCAAACAGAGAAGCAGGACAGCAAAGAAGCAGAAAAGCTGCTAGGCCGGGCTCGCAAAGATGTTTATATATATATATACATATACATCTACATATACGTTTTAATATATATATATATACAGTATATGCTATCATACGCCTTTCGTAAAGTGGTTCTCTCTTCCAGGGCGACCTTGTATGCAAATAAGGGCTGGCTGGGTCAAACTCTGGTAGAGCCACAGGTCCCCCAGGGAAGCCGGAAAAGATCGGAAAAGTGTTGGCATCCTGGTCGCTCAGGATGACATAGTCTAGGCCGCACGTGGGAGCAAAGTGACAAGGGGTGTGATGCTGGAACTGGGCAGGTGTCTAGGAGCTTCTGTGCATTACATGTCACTTTTTGTAAACTTCATACTGTGACAGGTGTCTGTCTACCTGCTTGCCTGTCTGCATGCTTGTCTGCCTTGCTGGAAGCCTGTCTCTCTCTCTCTC